GTGGGTCTTAAAAGATTTCCCATGTGCTATATCTTTGATCGTGTACCAAGATAATTCAATTTTCTCCGTCAAATTTTTCTTTTCAATAACCACTGGAGGTTTAAAAAGAACATTTGCCTTCAATCCACTGCTGAAGAACAATATCAGGTAGTAGCCAAGAGAGATTTTATTATATAAGTTAAGTTAATCAACAGTTTGGTAGAATCCTTATTTTTTTCATGTAGTTTCATGTAAGGTTTCTGTAGTAGTTTATTATTTATAAATGTTTTTTATAGTATTAAGTAAAATATGGCCTTCAAATATAATATTTTCAAATGCCTACATAATGCAGAAAGTTAAAGAAAATAAGAAACAGTAAATATTTTTTATTTTCTTTAACTTTCCACAAATAAAAAAGTAAAAGTGTAGGCTTTGTAAAATAAGTCAAGGCTGTGTATATTGTAAAAAATGCAATATATGTTTATGCATTAACAATTCTAGAAACTGTTTCTATAACTGCAAGTAAAGTACAAAATTAATATGTAAACAGACTGTTTTTAATGTCTTTGTTTTCATTTACTATTGATTAATGAGTTAAAAAAATAAATGATTCATAATTAACAAAATTCATTAAAGTTCTTTTTCTTACTTTTTTTTTTTTTTTTATTTGCATTCACTCCCAACAAGGCTGCAAGCAACCACTATTAAGTTGGGAGTTAATAAGAAAAAAAAGAACAGTATTATAGAGCAAGGAAATGGTTGACAGAAGACTTGAAAAGTTGAAGGTTGTATGAGTCAGGAAAACATGAAGATGGGAGAGAGTTCCAAAGGATTGAAGTGCGGGGAAAAAAATTAGATGAATAAAAGTTTTTAGAGCATGCAGGGACAGATACAGTAAACAAATGAGACTTAGCTGAATGACGAGTAAAACGAGAATGAATTTTAGTTGAAGGAACTAGAGATGATAACTCCTTTGAGCAGTGACCATGATAGTATTTGTAGAAAAGAGAAAGAGATGCAACTTTACGACGTTGGGAAAGAGGCTCAAGCTTAGCAGATAGTCCAGGTCCAACAACATTTACAATGCGTTTTTAGACCTTGTCAAGAAGAGAAAGTGAATCGTTAGAAGAACCAGCCCAAATATGACAACAGTATTCCATAGAGGGACGAATAAGAGATTTGTAGAGGTAGAGAATGGAATCAGAAGTAAGGAAATGGCGAGCACGATAAAGAGAAGCAACCTTAGCAGAAGGTTTCCATGAAAGATGGTTTCCATGAAAGGTCAGTAGTAAGCGTTAATCCAAGAAGACGTAAAGAAGAGGACTCAGTAAGAGGATTGCCATTCATTAATATAGGAATGTTGACCATATTACGGTAGTTGTTTGCAGTAAGCAACTGGGTTTTTTTAGAGTTGAAATTCACAAGCCACTGTGAACCCCAATCTATTACTGAAGTGAGATCGGATTCAAGATCAGCTGCTTGTTCTAGGCGATCGAAAAGAGAAGACTTTTTGTCAAGACAGGAGTTTAAAGTTGAGTCATCAGCAAAAAGAGCTACTTTAGATGAAAGGTTGTCAGGAAGATTGTTTATGTAGATAAGAAACAAAACAGGGCCCAGGATGGAACCTTGGGGAACCCCAGAAGTTACTGGAAATAAAGAAGAGTGTTGGCCTTTAAGGATGACTTTAATAAACCGGTTAGAAAGAAATGATTTGATAATCTCAAAAACTTTCCCTGAAACACCATATGAAGCAAGCTTATGGAGAAGACCAGCATGCTAAACTTTGTTGAAGGCTTTAGATATGTCGAGAGCAATAACCCTAGCCTCACCACCTCCATCTAATGCACAATAAATTCTTTCAGTTACAGCAGTTAGCAAGTTGGCCGTAGAGCGAGAGAAAACCATATTGATTGTCTGACAGTAGTTTATTTGACTCAAGATAAGATGTGAGGAATTTATTGATCAAAGACTCAAAGACCTTGCTAATAACAGAAAGAAGACTGATCGGACGATAATTAGAGGGGTCAGAATTTTCTCCAGAGTTTTTGAATATTGGAACCACAGATGCCATTTTCCAACAAGCAGGAAAACAAGACTCAGTCAAACACTTGTTAAATAGTTTAGAGAGAATTGAAGAAAGTTCTGGAGAACAATTTTGCAAGACTGTGACAGGAATGTTGTCTGGACCACAAGCTGTAGACGAGTTTAATTGAGATATGACTTTAGCAACAGAAGCCGAAGTGATTTGAATGTCTAACATTGGGTCAACCTGTTTGACTGGAATGGAAGGAAAAGAATTTCCATAAGATTCAAGAGTGGAATTAGAAGAAAAGTTCTTTGCAAATAGTTCTGCCTTGTCCTTGGGAGAGGTAATAAGATCAGTCCCATGAATGAGAGGTGGAATGTTAGATCTACCCTTGTTAACAATGCTGTTGAAGATTTTCCAAAAGTCTTTAGAGCCTAACTTCTGTGACAAGATGCGAGATTTAGTGAACTGAGAATAATGGAGTTTAGCATCAGAAAGCACCTTTTTACATCGATTTCTTGCAATAATAAATAGCCGTTTGTTCTCAAGAGAGTTGTTCTTTTGAAAAAGATGAAAAAAATGATTATGATTGGATATAGCAGCCGCACAAGAAGGAGAAAACTATGGAATAGAATGAGGCTTGACTTGAAACCGATGAGAAGGAATAAAAGCTTCCATTCCAGCCTGAATCCAGGAGGTTACATAGGAGGCGCATTAGTCAGCTGAGAGAGAAAAAACATCAGCCCAAGGACCATCACGAAGAAAATCACGAAAGGAATCCCAGTCAGCTTTAGGGTAGTAGTAGGTGGTGCGATGATAAGGTGAGCCCAAAAAAGAAGTACGAGAAGAAAGATTTATAGAGATCATTGCATGGTCAGAACCACCTGGAGAAAAGGGAGAAACTGAACATAAGCTAGGGTCAGAGACAAGACATAAGTCAAGGAGTGAAGGTAAATGATTAGGGTTGTCAGGAAAACGAGTCACAAAGTTAACTATCTGAGTAAGAGATTGAGAAAAGCAGAAGTTAAAGGCTTTATTGCCAGCAGGATCAGTGGTGTTAGAGCCAAGCCATTCAGTGTGGTGGGCATTAAAATCACCAACAACAACAATATTGGCAGAGGGGTAAAGAGAGAGGGCATGGTTAATTTGATCAGAGATAACATCTAAGAGAGTGCAATCATGGGAAGAAGGAGAACGATAAAGAACAAAGAGAAAGGTGATAGAGTGAAGAGGTGCTAGGCAAAAGCACATGAAAGAATGGTCAAAGGGTTCGAACCTGATTTCACGACAAATAGGGGAATTAATGCGTATGTATACCCCTAAACTAGCATGTGACTATTTGAGTCTTTACGAATCAAAGGATAGTACCCATCAACACTGACATCTGAAGAAGGAATTGCAGAATTTAAATTTGTTTCACTGAGTGCAAGCAAGTCTGGTGAATTTTGCAGGAGGTAAGACTCAACTGATGGAAAGTTGCTTTGTAGAATATTTGTAAAAGATATATATATTTAGGTGGTGGGGATGGTTTTTTAGGTTTAAAATTTTTGGTTACTTTGGTCATGATTTGGGTTTAATGAGAACTTGACTCATTCATAGATAGAGCACAGCCTCCTAATCAATGAGCTATGCAGTTGTCTCAGTCCTGTTAATTAACCCTAAGCCATGACATAGGGCTCCTTATGTGGCCTTGACAATGCACACCAAAAGCATTAACAGGGACACCATCCATGCGCAAAATGGCACTGTTAATACTCTGATATTTTGCAGCTGTTGATGGAATCAGCCTCTCTGAGAGCTACCACAGAGTTCGGGAAACCTTACTACCAGCCGGCCTCAGAACCATTAAACTGAGTTTTAGAGCTGTACCCTCATATGGAGATAACAGGAAGAGTTGCATAGCCATTATCAAGGAGGCATAAGCAAAATTCTATGAGTAGAGTCAAGGAGATCCAGCATTCATCATCCTAGGCAGGGAACAATGTAATACAGGTTACATCTACGCCAGCCTAATAGATGAAGAAGGGGTTTGAGGCTGGTTAGCAGAATTTTTCTGCTTACCCCTAAAGTCTTTGCCTAGGAGGCCTTCTACAAGACAGTAGCTGGATGTAGTTAACATCTGCCCAAGATGAGTATTTTTATCGAGACACCATCTCTAGCCTTTACTCAACCAAGAGCCCCAAGGCAGGGGGTGTTTAACTGGATGCAGTTAACATCTGCCTAAGATAAGTGTTTTTATCAAGACACCATCTCTAGCCTTTACTCAACCAAGAGCCCCAAGGCAGGGGAATTTTTAGTCGGAGTTTATTTGTCCTAGCCTTTGCCTAAGAAGAGCACCCTCTGCAAGGCAGCAGGGCTTGTGGCAGGTGGTACTGGGTTACGTGATACCAGTAGCAAGATTGATCTCAATTATCCTGACCTGACCTGGACCTAGTTGTTCAAGGTATCTTTAAGTTAACATCATTTATTCAAAAAACTGTTTATTTCAGCAAAAAAAAAAAAAAAAAGAAAAATGATTCAGCAAGTTAAAATAATAATTTGCACCATGGAAATAATTTTTTACTCAAAACAGTCATAATGTGAACTATAAAGGGATATATATATATATATATATATACACAGGTATACATATATATAGATATATACCTGTACATATATATAGATATATATATAGATTAACCCTTTATTAACCCTCCAAAACACAAGATTTGATAAACAAGGCTGCTGAGAAATAAATTAAATGTGCTACTATTGAGAATTAAACTTGGTACTTCTTGCTCACTAAACATGTTCTTTACCACAACACCATAAAGCTTGGTATTAATGGAACTTATTCCATGGTTCAATTTGTACAATGGTTATTTCTATCTAGTAATTATAATTTTTAGAAATTATAATTTCTTAAAATCGAGCAATTTTTTAGAAAGTAATAAAATTGGAGTTTAATGTGTTTTGTATATTAATAGTATTTAATATTTTATTTATAATAATTTAGAGGTATGATGATGACAGCATGTGATGTAGCAGCAATTACTAAACCATGGGAAGTTCAGCAGAGGGTGAGATATTAAAAAATGCACAAGTATTTTAAATGCAGACATAAATAAAAAACTTTATTTTATTTAGATTTTTGTTTTATCAAAATTATTACTTGTATTTTTAAACAGTGGCGGATTGAAGTTTAGTGTTTTAGGGGGCTCAAGTCAATAGATAGAGGGGGACTGGAGTTGAGTGTAGTGTTTTAAACCCCATAAATTATTTTCATGACTAAAACACTTTATAAGTGTTTTTATGTGACTTTCATTATACATATTACATACATATAAGACACTAATTTTTTTTAAGTTTCCTTTGTTTATTTTATTTAACAATCATCTTTTATAAAATAAGAAATATTTAATATTACTGAAATAGTTTGGTCATTTAAAAATATATTTAACTAGACATATTACAAAGGTTAGCATTTAGAAAAAAAATTCACTTTTCAGGTAGTTTACACAAACTCTGCAAGATTTCATTGAAGCAAAACGATTTATCAACAAGTCAAAGTCAATGTTTTCATCAAGCTCACGTTCAATAGAAATTAATGCTGATCCAGAAAGACGTTCGTTTGTCATTGTTTATCTAAAATAATTTTTTGTAATCTTTAGTTTACTGAAACTTCTTTCATCATTAGCAGACGTAACGGAAGAGTCAAGTAGATTTTTTAAAGTATAGACAAGTTAGAGAGACCTGGGGCTATCTGTTTCTTAATCAAGAACTGAAGTACGTCATTCAATTGTATGTTACTTGTCAGTGATGGGAATATCTATGCATACACATCATTGAAAGTCTCATACTCTATGACTGCTTCTTCAGTATTTACGTTGTTTCAATAAATTTGTCAAGAAAATATAAATGAATTTATATTTTCTTTAGATAATTTTGACAGATCAAGGCAATCAAAATGTGTAACTGTGTTACTAAAGTTGTAAAATTGTTTATTTATTTGGGTTATAACTGTATCCAAAACATTGAAGTAGGTTTCACATTTTTGGCGTGTAGTTGGATCATCAACTCTTTCATTTCTCCACAGCTCCTGTCATGCGTTTCTTTTTGACTGAATGTTAGGCTAACTGAATTTAAAGAAATATGAGTTTTCTTTAAATTCAGTTTCTACATCTAGTTTGGCACATTTTTTACTAATAAATGATTTGACTGCTAAATGTAGAACTTTAAAAGCTTTATCGTTTCTCATATCTACAACCTTTTTTTTGTAACATCAATCAACTATTTTGCAAATAAAACTAGGGGGCATGTGGGGCAGCTCTCCCCACCCCCTTCACCCCCTATACTAAATCCGCAACTGTTTTTAAAACTAAAGTTTTATAAAAGAAATTTAAATTATAGTTAAAATCTCACACAGCATTAAAAACAAAAACAAATAGCTTTTTGTGAAAATAATCCCATGAAAGAAAGTGAAAATCTATTTTTTATATTTTATTATTACTATTTTATATATTTTGATTACTATTGCTATATTTAATTGTAAGAAATAATATTTTTTTATTTTGATTACTACATTTATATTAATTCATTTAAAACAGGGTTATTTTGCTTATTTTATGCAAAATATATTTATCACAAGTTAAATATATTTATAACAAGAACATTTTTTTGTAAATTAATTTTGTAACTTCAAACTTTTTGATATTTTTTTAAAATATTACACTTCAAACTTTTTAATATTTTTTTGATTTTTCTTCATTATATAGGTTGCTGAATTTGTTGCAAATGAATTTTTTGAACAAGGTGATCAAGAAAGAAGCAAGTTATCTGCAGAACCCATTGTAAGTTTTTTAATGCTATAAGATGTTTGAAAGACGTTTGCTATTAAAGATTTGAAATAGTTGTTGTATAAAAATATAATTAGTAATGTTTTTATTCAGTGATGCAAATGCTTTTTATTGTTTATGTTTGTAGCCAATGATGGACAGAGGAAAACATCGCGATTTACCTAAAATGCAAGTTGGCTTCATAGACTTTGTTTGCATGCCTATATATAAAGTATATATTTTTTTAATTTTGTACCTTTAATCAATAATTTTTTTATTAAATTGAACTAATTTTTGTATGAAAACGTCTGCACAACTTTAAGTTAATTTATAAATTAAAGATTTTTTTAAGAATTGATGTAAACATTAAATCTTGATTTAACTAACTTTGATTTATGTATATATATATATATATATATATATATATATATATATATATATATATATATATATATATATATATATATATATATATATATATATATATATATATATATATATATATATATATATATATATATATATATATATATATATATATATAAAGAGAGAGAGAGAGAGAGAGAGTGAGTCATTAATAAAAGTTAATAAAAGATTATCTAGCTGTAATAGGATTAATGTGTGATTGGTGTTCATTGTTGCAGAATAGTAAATGGGATAACATAATAGCATGCAATAATCTATTGCTATTGCATCAGTCATCATTGCATCAGTCACTTATGATTTACAATTGAAACTGTACTATTAGTGTTAGCAGAGCAGCAATCAGAAAGATATCTATTGTGTGAATGTAAGCTTTATAAATGGGCAAAAAATCATCACTTTCTGAAACTGAAAGGGTTAAAATCGTTTCATTATTCAATGAAGGATATTTAGAAATGCAAATTAGTGTAAAACTGAATTGTAGTAAGACAGCTGTGCACACTGCAACTGAGAATTTCAAAACTTCTGTAAATTTTCAAAAAGAGATGTGGACAAGATTTTAGGATCGTTTCACAATTCAAACAATCAAACATTCACCAAGTTCGATGATTGGAACAACTATGGAAGGGGAGCCAAATATGTGGAACTTCTACTGGAAAAATTGCAATTACACCTATCCATTCATTGGTGTTCCACTTTCATGCATGCAAAATTCAAAGTTTCTATCCTGGGAATAGTCTAGTCCTCAACCCTATCGAATATCCCTGGAAGATTACTAAGAAAAAGGTTGCAGACAAACACCCATCAACCATTTAATCATCGAAATATATTCATATATATATATATATATATATATATATATATATATATATATATATATATATATATATATATATATATATATATATATATATATATATATATATATATATATATATATATGTATATATATATATATATAATATTCATTTTTATATATATATATATATATATATATATATATATATATATATATATATATATATATATATATATATACATATACATATATGTATATATGTATATATATGTATATATGTATATATATATATATATATATATACATACATATATATATATATATATATATATATATATATATATATATATATATATATATATATATATATATATATATATATATATATATATATACATATATGTATATATGTATATATACACATATATGTAAATATATATATTTGTATCAAAATATATATGTACATATATGTATATATTTACATATATGTATATATGTATATATATGTATATATACACATATGTGTACATATATATATTTGTGTGTGTATGTATGGAACACCTCATAAATAAAATTTTGGACAAAATTTAAAAATTAATATTTTAAGAACTAAGTTTTATTATTTAATATTTCAACTGTTAACATGTTAGTAAATGTAGTTTATAAATATATTAAAATAATTATTTCAAATACCGTATTTAGCAATATTATAAAGTTTTTTTGAAAGATGTTTTATTTGAGTAAGGAAAATTTCTTTATTCATCTTTGAATAGCAATATCTAATTCTTGCTTCAAGCTCTTCCAAATTCTCAGCTCTCCAATTATTATCGTATACTAGAGGTTTAAAATCACCCCAAAAGTTTTCAATTGGTCTTGTTTCTGGAACATTAGCTGGGTTTATATCTTTGGGTACAACTTTGATTTTTTTAATTTTAAAAAGTCGATGACCGACTTTGCGTAATTTGATCGAGCTAGATAAGGCCAGAAGATAAACTCGTTGTCTTTTTTATAATATTATGATACTAGAGAAAGTAAAGTTTTTTCTAGTTTCTCTTTATAAGTGTACTGGTTGATTGCCTGCTTACTGTGATGAATATAAAGAGGGCTTATTCCACGGGAGCTGATGCAACAAGAAACTAAAAGCTTGTTCTCGTACTTTTTACGCAAATTGTATCTTACTTCGTCAGAACATTGAGAAGGATCAGCGGCATAAAACCTATTGTTACCAGCTAATGTGCTATTATTTAAGGTAAAATAGCTTTCATCATCCATAACAAAATCCAAGTTTTTATAATTTTCGTACAATTGACGTCATTTAGGACGCATAGCTTTCTTAAGCTGATGGCTACGATCTGGACGAATTGTTTTTTTGAAAGTTTGAATGTTAGTCATTATTTTTAATACTTGGGAAATTCGAGTTTGACTACAGTTAAAAACATGAGCAACTTTTGGTAGCACCCTGACTTATTCTCAAAAAATGCAGCAATCTTTGGAATATTTTCTTTAGTAGCGACCTTAGCGATTCGACCACTTCCAACTTTTCTTTTTAGAGATCCATTCTCCAATTTTACGATTTTATTGTAAGCAGTTGATCTGGGTAAACCCCATTCCATAAACTGCTTAGCAACAAACGCTTTACCTTTTTCTCGATTTTTTTGGAAAAAAATCTCCATCATTTTTTCGAGGTCCTTTACTTTGACCATTTTATTTTCAATAATTATATAATATTTTTAACTTAATTAAATTAAATTTAAATAGATTATAAAATCCTATTTCAAATAAGTATAAAGGTTTTTTGTGAGCATGAAATAAATTACATAATAAATGCAATTAAAATTTGTCCAAAATTTTATTTATAGGGTGTTATATATATATACATATATAATGTATATATATATATATATATAGAATTTTTATGTATAACTTTTTTTTTTTTGATTTTAAATTTTTTTACTGTGAATTAAAAATTGTGTATTTTGTTTTATAAATAAAAGGTTTTTTATGCTATCAATCCTTTGTTAAAACCACTTTATGACGGAGTTAGTGATAATCGTAAAAATTGGCAAAGTATTGCAGACACATATGGTAAATGAAGCTGTTTTTATATTACTGTTGTTTCCTATTTTAAAAAAATTCTAATAAGTACATTTTTTTCATTCGTTTGTAGCTTTTGATAAAACTTTTCATTTAACAAAAGTTCTTATTTAATTTTCAATTTTCTCAAAGTTCCCAAGTCTCTAAAAGAATCAGCAGTTGTTTTAAATGGAACAAATTGTGAAAAGATAGATGATAAACCTTTAAAAAAAGTTACGTTTTTCGAGGCTAAAAATTCAAGGACATGTTCCATGTTGTAGTTTTGTGTCATGTTAACATGTGTCACGTCTATATAGAATGATTTTTAAAATATTTTACTAGTGAATAAACATGAACGTTTTGTAAATAATATTAAAATGTTTTTTTATAAAGTTTATTTATAAAGTTATTTAAATTATAATTTGTTATTATTGTGTTTTTTTTCTTTAAAAAAAACTGTTTATGTAAATATGCATTATAGAGAAATATTGTATTAAAAAGTTAGATAAATTTATATAAATGTATTTTTTATATTATTTAAAAATTTGGAATTTTAGACAAACATTATACATTGTTTAGCAAGAATTAAAGTATTTGTGATTTATAACTTGCTTTATATTTAATAATAATTATTACTTCGTAACTAGTGGTAACGGTAGTGATTCTCGGAAATTTGATTGGGATCAAAGCTTTTCTTTATTGTATTTTGTGATTAAACAATCTTAAATTGAATTAATAGTAGCAAAGTGTTCTTGGAGCATTCCTTGTTTATTTAAAAATGTATGACAAAGTCGAGTTCACCTAACACTACTTTTGTCTTAATTTATAGATGAATGATACACTTTCATTCGTGTATATAGTTAAAAAAAAACTATCATTATATGTGAATTACATCAGTGCATCAGTAAATAGAATCGAAGTCTTGTGTGCATTGTGAATGAGTTTGAAAAATTAAAACTTAAAAAATATTTATCTTTATTTCTTTATTTAAAACAATATAAATTTAAACCAATTCTAAAAAAAAAATTATTTTTATACTTTTATCATTATTAACTTCTTTTAATTTTCTAATTTTACTTTTTCTTCTTACTATTTTTATAAAAACTTTATTGTTTTTTGTCATTATTATTTTTTTTTTCATTACTGCTATTTTTATTATTACTATTATTATTATTATAATTGTAATAAATACTATTTTTTTTGCTGTTACTTTAGTTCTTTTAATAAATGAAGTTATTATTGTTATTATTATTACTTTTTAAATTAATATTATTAATATAATTATTTGATGTCACTCCTTTGATAGGTTTCTGCATGAGTGACTCCTTTTATGTCAATCATTTATTTACATTTATTTTCAATAATGATATTTTGGTTTTATTATTTATAATATTATAGATATTCTTATTATTATCATTATTGTTATTATTATTGTTAGTATTATTGTTAGTATTATTATTAATATATATTATTGTAATTAGATGATTGTAAATTGAGTCTAATAAATATCTTGTTGTTGATGTTCTTCTTAAATGATTAAAATGCATATAACAGACTACAAAGTCTATAATTTACATACAAACTATGTGACATATTGTATTTATATACAAGTTGTATATAATTATAAAATGTTACATAGTTTATATACTATGTGATTTGTATGCATTTATCTATTTATGTTTTTATAATATAGTTAATATAAACTATTTAATATAGTTTATATAATCTATTATAATATAATAAGTTGTAATCATATATTATATACGATTTGTGTGCATATTATTTACATTGTATTACAGTTTATATAATACGCACACAAATTTAATGCATGCAAATCAAACATTAATAAATCATAATATATATCCAGGACATAATTGCTACTATTCCCCGGGCGTCATTAAAGCTCTCGACGGTTCTGTATATGTAGTATAGGGCGCCAAGATAATAGGGGCGCCAGTAGACGAAGGCAAAAAAAAATTTTAAAGTGCTTATAATTAAATTTTAACTTTTTTTGCTTTTTTTAATGTGTATACATGTCTTCTAGTCTATATAAGATGCAAAGACAAGGCTTATAACTACAAAGTTGATGTCTCTCGCTTTTACTTTGTGCAAGGTGACGGAGAGAATTATCAAAGATTGAATTATGAAACCCTGTAAAGAATCTAATTTCAAAAACTCAACACAGCTTTGTACACCACAAAGGCCGCTTAACAAATCCGATTGAACCCCGCAACATTTTGCCGGAGGCAGTTTACCGTGAACACCTAGTTAACTAGGTGTGAGCGAGGGGGTCTTGATTAAAATAATTTTTACTAACTTTGTCAAAGCATTTAACAAAGTGTCACGCAATTATTTTTTATAAGGTTTAAATCTATGGCATTTGAAGCCAGCTATTAAACTGGATCACTGGCTGGCTAGATGATAAACAAAAACGTGTTGTAATTGGAGAATAAATGTCTGAGATAAAAAAATCGGTTAGCAGCATCCCTCAAAAATCAGTTCTTGTCTCTTCAATCTCTCTTCACTGCTATTTGTGTTCTTTGTCAATTATTTTGTAGACTGCATTTATTATCTATTATTATCCCAAATTATGCGTTGATTTTGGCAGGATTATATGAGTCATCGATGTCAATCGATGTTGTTACAATCATCGATGTCAATCTTCAAAATAAGCTATTCACTTATTTAGTAAGTCTGAACGACCGTGTGGTGGGACAATATGAATACACATTTTATATTTTTCGCTGGCAGCAAGTTAGAAACCCAAACTTTACTTAAACACAAATTTTAAAATGATCTGAAGTGGAACACTCACTTTAAAAACATCCATAAAACATCTTGTTGCCATAAAACCTTGTTGTCATAAAATATCTGTTGTGCATCGCCTGGCATCATATGGTATGCCTCCTGATTTAATATGGAAAACTTATCTTTGCCTTAGTCCTTTTGCTTATGGGCTTGTGTTTTGCGAAATCTCTAACTCTCGATTTATGAAACTTTCGACCATAGAGAAACGATTAAAGATATGTTAAAAGCGCCTAAGATTAACTCATTTTATTTTTATAAAATATAAAGAATCTTGAAGGCAAATTAATCAAAAAAGCTAATTCGAATAATTACCCTCTTCAAACATTGTTTTTAGTTAGATCTATTGTGTGAAATCTCAGAAATTTGCGTAAGCTGCCACTTCTACATCCTAATTTGACTCGATTAATAAAATCTTTTACGGGTTTTTGTAAAACTTAACAAATACGTAGATATTGTATTTATTTATAAAGGAAATAACAATAGCAATAATAATATGGTGCATATTTTTTAATTATTGTTTTTCATTTATTTAAAATGTCCTAAAATGTCAAAGTTGTGTTGGTTATACCTAGGTATCCTTATAAAAAAATGTTATTTTTCTAACCAAACCAATTCAATTACAATGGTATTATTAAATGATAAATTTTGATACCAAATTTATAAAGATAAAGAGGAAATTGATTTCAAAAAGTGGACTTATTAAATAATATTGTATAAAATGTACTTTCAAAAGTATATTTCATTAGGGCTCGTCCATAAAGTACGTACGCTCATAGAGGGGAGGGGGAGGTTTTAAAAAAGCGTACGAAAGCGTATGAGGCGGGGGTGGGGGGTTGGATGGTTTAATTTTAAAAGTACGTTCATAGATTTTCTAATTTATCACAATTAACCAGCTAATCAATAGAAAAGTTAAAAAAAGTTAAAGTTTCTGACTAAAGATCCTAGTTTGCCAACATAAATAGATATTTAGTATAGGGAGTAGAGGGTTTAGTTTCCCTCAATGCACACATATAGATGGGAACCCGCAGGATTTTTTGATGTTCTAGATAGGGAACTTTCACATATTGTGCAAACTCTAAACTTAAGTATGTTTATATCTACGCCAAATGAAGAGACCTTGCAAAAAAATTAAGAAGGCGGTGGCCTGGGAGCAAAAAAGCCCTAAAACGCCCCTTTAAAAAAAGGGGGTGTAAATTTTGTATGATCATAACTTTTGCAATTTACATTATTTTTCTACGAAATTTGAAATCTGTCGATAAATTTAAATTTAGTTTTAGATGGTAGTGTTGAAATTTTACTACATTAATGCCTTCACGCTTGGACAGAGGGGTGCAAGCATTTTAGAGTTTTAACATAGGCTTACTTACATTTGGCATAGGCATACTTAAGTTTGGAGCTTTGGCAAGCTCCAAACTTAAGTATACCTATGCCAAATGTGTGAAAGTGTCCTATCTAGAACATCAAAAAATCCTGCGGGCGCGTATGCACACATGCCAACCCTTATATACTGGCCCTGAGTAACGTGTAATTTAGGCAACCTATTTTTTGAGTTGAAAAATAAAAGGTTTTAGCATTGCCATCCCAGCTAGCACACTTATGTTGGGCCAACTTATGTAAAACCATTGCAAACGTTGGCTGTTCTTTCCAATGCAAAACCAGTGTTGATTCAATGTCATTTGTTTAATGATGAAATAAATACCAACGGAACTAAAAAACAGCTGGCACATTTACATTGGTTTAAAGTATGTAAAAACATCGCAAAAAATTGATTTTTTTACGATCTAAACCCAACGTTGAATCGATGTGTATAAACCAAAGTTGACTTAATGTATATAGATTGATTGGAGCAACGTTGGATTTTATATAGTGGATGATTGTTGAGTTTGCATTGAGAAAAAGCCGATATACAACTATACAATTTATGAGAATTATTTTTCATTTAAATATTTTAGTCGATTATGGAATTTTATTTTGCTAATATATTTTTCTCTGTTTTATGTTATGAAATATCAACAAAACAAACAGGAATAATTCCTCTTTAATCAGATCAATGTAATATTAACCTGGGTAAGTACGCCAATTGCTGGCTATTAACCAATTACTGACCACTTTTAAAAGCTTTACTCGCATAAATCTATGGCACAAATTGTTCAAAATTATTATTTAGACTCAATGACTCTATTAAAAATTTAAAATATCGCAATTTTAGGAAAATTCGAGGTTTTAGTCGCTAAATGTCAAAAATGAACTAAATGTCAAAAACATGATATTATATGTAACAATTTTTTATTTTGTTTTCGAAAATTCATACTTTGAAACAAAATTATTTAGTTTATGCCTCACAATGTTTTATCTGAATTAGATTAAACCTTTTATAATAATATTCCATTTACTGGCCGGTTATTTAATTCATTTACTAGTCATGGCCAATAAATGGTATCAAGTAAAAAAGTATTTGGTTTAAAATTTGGTTGTTATTTTTCATGTGTAAAAAAAGTTATGTTAAGATATTAAACTGATAGTTAACTTTTAAACAACATCCACATTTTAAATTAAATTCTGATTTTCTTAAAAGTACTTGAAAAGTAGAATAAGCTAAGAAAATTATATTTA